ATACAGGAAACTCTAGTTCAATCATTTTGAGACAATCAAATGCCCACAAAAATCACTTTTACATATATGTAGAATCCATTTAGCTTTTCCAACGCTTACCAAAGTCTAACCTATCATAATGGTTCTTTATGTGCTAATTCCACACGTTGTACTACATATCAACTATTGACGGGCATGAATCATGTGGGTAGTTACACCCCACGCTGTTCAACAAATTTTTGTCCCGTTTGCATTGTTCACACTTTTATATTGTTGTATTTTTTTATACCCTTAAAATACATAGTTTAGTTTCTCATGAAAAGGAGGACCTTACGTATCAAGTATTATTCTTATTTTTTATAAAAAAAAATGAATTCTATACATTTTTAAAAATTCATTAAACTCATTTTATTGTGAAGATAAGAAAAGTGTCACTAAAAATCACAGATGGAAAATCTTTAAACTATAAAGAAGACATGCTCTACACCATTTCAAAAATTCATAAAACTCATTTTATGGTAAAGATAAGAATGGTATTAATAAAAATTACAAATGAAAAATCTTTAGAATATCAAGGTGACGTTCTTATCGTCAGTTTTCAGGAGGCGAATTGTTGGGATTTACGTCATTTCAATCACTTTGAGACTGGCAATGGTGTTTGTTTGTTTCTCCCCAAGATGGATCTCCTCTTTGAGACGAGTGTTGGCGTTCGTCTATCCGGTCTTATCGTAGGTGAATATCTTGTACAGGATGCCAGGCCGTCTTGTGTGCCTCGGGACAAGGGAAATATGCCGCTACATGCAGCTGTTCATCTCCTTACGATGCCAGGCCGTCTTGTGTGCCTCGGGACAAGGGAAATATGCCGCTACATGCAGCTGTTCATCTCCTTACGGGTGCGTCCTATTCCTTGATCCATCAGATATCAGCTGAGAAAGGGCCAACGTTGACATATTTTGGTTCCCTGATCCCAAGGTCATTCTACAGTTAAATTGACAGATTGCCGTTCACAGATGTCACAAAAAAATAATAAAAAAAAGAACAAGCGATTAATTGAAAGATGAACACTCCGATGTCCTCTCAAAAGGGAGGGCACAGGTACAATCCTCCTTTCTGTGAGGGGAGGAAGGGGGACTCGATAGTGGGGCCCCCTCACAATGCAGGGGCCTTAGTAGTGGGGCCCACCCCTTGTGAGAGGGGGTGGACACCGGTGTCCTCCCCAAAGGGAGGGTACCGTAGAATTTTCCTAATTAAAATCTTAATCAACATGGAAACATAATTGTTAATTATTTGTCGGTAATTAAATAATTTTAGCATGTACAAATGACACCAGCTGAAGTTATAGGATATTTATAATTATTTAAACCAAACCCGCGACAGCCCCTCGTGTACTTACAATGTTTTAGAAATTAGACTAGCAAGAGAATGACGATCATGTTAGTTATAAGGTTGACTGATTGAATCAGTCGAATTACTAGTTCAATTAATATGACGTTATAAGTATGTTTAATTTAAATAAATATTTATATATTATTATAAATAATGTAAAAAAAAGATAAAAAATTTAACAATTTATTTTATTATAATTAATTCTAATTTTATAATATCCAGTTTTAGTTTAAAAATTTTAGAGGATTTCATTGACAAAAAAAATAAGAGAGAAAGTCAAAATCGGTCAAATTAATAAATTAGTTTTTCCAGTTTTTATCTTTTTGATCGGTTTTGACCAATTCTCATCTATTTAAAGCATAACTGGTTTTATTCATTCAACTAAACTAGAAAGCCTGCTGATTCTTAGTTGAGCCGACCAGTCCAATCCGTTTTCAAAACACTACATACTTCTAACTCAAGCATGTGCACAACACATGGCATATTTTCCTTCTTGTTTCTATTTGGTCCCACCTTTCAATTGCAACACTTTAACCCTGTACTTTTTGTCTCGATTATTATGGAAAAACTATTGAATTTTGGAACTTTTTCACGTAATTTTCTATATTTTAATTTAACATAATGTGTTTGGTTTGGTGTTATTGAGTTTTTCTACCTTGTGATAAAATAATTATTATTCAATAGTTTCCGTAGTATTATATAGAGATGGGTTCTTTGGATTCATTTTGATACAAAAAGTTTTCTTAAAAAAAATTTTTTGAACAAATAATTTTTATATGTATTTATATTTCTATATTTTTATTTGAGAATTTCTTGCATTTTCATTTGATTTGTTCATTTGTATTTTTAAAATCAATTTTTTTTTTGATTTCTTGTTTTGCTAGTTCAATGTTTTTGTTTGTTTCATATAATTTCTCCTTTTCTTTTTTTAATTATGACCCTATCTCCATACCCATTATATTTTTAATTTTGTTCAGTTTGCCAACTCAACAGTAGAATACTCAGCTTTTAAGTGTGGCTAGGATATTTTACACATTTGGATGAACATATGTTTTCATTACCAATTCTTCTGACCATTTTTTCTCTTCAATTATAAGCTTGAAAATTACAAAGGTAGTCTCCAAGCTTTACAGTTCCCCTTATATTGGATCCTTGCACCATTAACTTTTATTGACAACGTCAGTAATTCTCGCTATGGGGCAGAAAGTGTAGGGACTACATTGTTTCAATTGAGAAGTTGAGGACCAAATGAGAATGGAGAAGAAAGTATAAGGACTTTAATTGCAATTAACCATTTTTTAAATAAATCAGTGATTCAGTTCATAAAATTGAAAGAAGCAAATCCAGTGGGAGATTGATAGGGATTAGTCAAGTGGATTTGGTTCCTCCTCGGTATACGAATGGAAGTGGATCCAAGTCCATCGGAGAATGTGGATTTTCCATGTATTATTGAATATTTCTGATTAAAAATTTCAGATCTTTTTAAGCATGCAGCAATTGCATCCACAAATATGGAATATTAAAAAAATATAAGTGGAGAAGGCAAACAGGCATGATGCATATCTTACTGTTTTCTTATAATTAAAATAAGCAGTTAAGTTGAACCTTGTCAATGACTAATAACGAGGGAATAAGACTCTCCGGTCAGTACACCGACTTAGTTGTTAGAAGTATATTTAAATAATTAAAGTAATTTAAAATTGAAAACTTAAGATAAATACAATGACTTATAAAAAATTGAAAATTCACTTTTTTTAATCTTTTTTTATTAGAATTAAGTAATAAATTAAAATTTGTTACATTTAACTTTTAAATTTATTCATATTAAATTTTTAAATTTACATAGCCTAATACTAAGGTCATGTTTGGTACTATTAAGGGAAAAGGAAAATGAAAGATATAATAATAAAGAAAAGAAAAGAAATGAAGCGAGGAGAACGCCTTTCTTTCCTTTAATTGTTATTATTAAATGGGAAAGAGAGAGATATTTGAATTCTTTTGTTTGGTTATAATCGAAGTGCATGTAAATAAATGTTGCAAGAATTCTATTGAATAAAATTAAAAATTTGAAGTTTCTAACCAAAATTCAAGTGAAAAAATTCAAAAACAAAAGTTAGAGATTAGTGTGAAAATCTAAAAATAACAATGACCAGATTGAAAAAGAGAAGAAATATTGAGGCGCCAACTTGCAAAGTAGAAGATAAGAGGAAAGAGAACTAGCAAACTCAATCGGTTCTTTGGCGAAAGGAGTTGATAGAAATCAGCAATGGTTCTCGCCATTTGTCTCACCCTTCATCTCGCCGATCTTGCTATTCACCTTACCACTCTCGTCGCCTTTCACCTTGCCATTCTTGCTGATGTTGCCCATAGTCATGCCTAGCTATCACTGTCTTGCTGTAGTTATCTCTTGGTTACAATCTTGATCAAACAAAAATCCTAATCCATCGAAGAAACGATGAGAAAAAGATAGTTCAAAATAGAAAACTAAAGCCAAAACTGGTTGAAAGGAAAAAATAGTTCAAGAGGCAAGTCATATTTACCTTTCTTTTCCCTCCCAAGCTGACACCGTCACCGCCACCGCCACCGCTGGAAGAAAAAAAGTAGGTCCAACAAAAATGTGATAAATCAAAATATCTTCTCTTCTTCTACAAATTTGATACTAAATAGGTGTAATTTTATTGTTACATTTCTTTTCTTTCTCTTCTATTAAAAAAAATGCTTAGTTCTATTAAAAAATGCATATTAAATGTAGCCTAAATGTTAATAAACTTTTAAATATTTAAATGCATTTATTTTTTAATAGTAAATTATTATCAGATAGAAATATTTTGTGTTATACATATGCAAATATATATTTACATATATAACAAAATTCCGTAAGAATTAATTTGTTTTCCATAAATGCAAGCCAAACTTCATAAATGAAAGAATTGGATAGAAATTGGCTGGTGGAGTCTGTGTTAAAAAAATATCCATATAAATATAACTCCATTTAATGGTCGCCTAATGCGGTGGTTGTAAATGGAAAATGTGTGGTGGGAACCAATTACGTTTGAACGAATGGCCAAAAACTTGAAATCTCCGAAGAAAAAATCTGAACGCAGAAGCTACTTGGTCGCTGGCCTAGAAAAACGTGTAATCTTAACCCATCGGACCCTCCGCATGGTCAGGTCCTCTAGTGTTCTGCCACGTAAGCACCTCAGTCCCCTCTTCGTGCCGAACAACGACAAAATTGGCTGTTCAGCTCAACTTCCCCATCCTAGAGTCTTACTTACCCCATTGACCCAATCCTTTCAACACCCGGACCAAACAAAACTTTCCCTCCCTCTCTCTTTCTGCCACCTATTAAATGATCTCGGCGGCACGGACGGTCTCGATTCGTGGACGACAAGAGTACGAAACTCCGTCTCGGTGCTTAAGGTAAGAGAACGTATCGAAAGCTCAAAGCCGTGAAAAGTTTCGCATTCGCTCTCGCCTAAATTTGCGGGCTAATGAGGGAGATCAGTAAAGACTTCAAGAATCCAAGCTTTAATAAAGAACGTCATGTGACGGTGTCAGCTACCCAGATCGCCCAACCGCTCTCTCTCTAGAACACCTTTCTTTTGCCATTAATTCTCTCTACTCTCTTTCTTAAAATGCAGCTTCTTCAGCAATTATTCCCGAAATCCCAGAATTCTTCTTCTTCCTCACGCCTAGTAAACGTCGCAATAGTATCATCTTCCCTATTCATAGCCTACTTTTTCCTCTCTCTCCTCCTCCTCCACACTACCAAGTATGTAAATTTGTCATCGCCGGCTGAGGCGCCCCCGTCCCCGCCGTCGCCGACCTCCGTGGAACATTTGGTGTTCGGTATAGCTTCGAACGAGAAGTCGTGGCGGACGCGTAAGGACTATGTGGGGCTCTGGTGGAAGGCCGATCAGATGCGAGGATGCGTGTTCCTGGACCAGATGCCCAGTTCCCAAAACGACACAGCTTCGCTCCCTCCAATTTGCGTCTCTGAGGACACGTCCCGGTTCCCCTACACCTACCGAGGCGGCCTCCGGTCGGCGATTCGGGTCGCCCGGGTCGTGTCGGAGACGGTGGCGCTGAACCACTCAAACGTGCGGTGGTTCGTATTTGGTGATGACGACACCGTTTTCTTCCCCGAGAACTTGGTGAAGACGCTTTCCAAGTACGATCACGAGCTCTGGCACTACATTGGAACCAATTCGGAGGTTTTTATGCAGAATAAGTTTTTCTCCTTCGAGATGGCATTTGGAGGAGCTGGGTTCGCGATCAGCTATCCCCTGGCAAAGGTTCTGGCCAAGGTGTTTGATTCGTGCATTGTTCGGTACCCGCATCTCTACGGAAGTGATGCCAGAGTTCACACGTGTATCGCAGAGCTCGGCATTGGGTTGACCCGGGAGCCCGGTTTTCATCAGGTACGCATCCTGTCGGTAAACAATTTTGATAATCGTAATCGTTTGGGATTCTCAATTTCATTCCCAAGTTTTAATTTTTGCAATCAAGTACGGGTACTGAAAAAAAACTGAATTAAAATCAACACAAAGGGAACGACGGGAAAATCCATGCTACTGTCCTTGCGGTGATATCGTGGCTTGAACGCCCCATTTAAAAAAAAAAAAAAACTTTTCGTTTTTCATCAATTTCTTATTGTTTTGATATTTTTGCATTTCAAAAAAAGTTAAAAATCTTGAAAATTTTATTATTTTTGTATTAGTACTCAGTTTCTAGAAAAAAAATAGTTTTTAAAAATTCTTAAAACAATATATGCTGGTATTTTCAGAATTCTTCTGGAAAATTTTTTCCCCTTTTTTGCATATAACATATATTTTTCTAAATCAAATCCTAACGATTGTCCTTTTTCTCTTTCTTCCTTTTTTATCTCAATATTCACGAGTTTGTCACAAGCCATGCTGGCTGTGATATGGACTTTTTGATTTTCTACGTTTTTTTAACTAAGGATGTTGTCGAGGGTGACGTTGACAAAATTTTATTATTTTAAGGATTTAATTGAAAGAATCTGAAGTGACGGCGAATTAAGGATCCCAAGAAGTGACAAATATGCATTCCCCCCCCCCCCCCCCCCCGCCCGCCCGCCCAAACCAAAGCAATCTTAGTCCTACTTTGAACTCGTCAGTTCGACCTAGGAGTTACCCAATTAGTTTAATTTGAATTAAACTTAAATAACAATGTAAATATGGATTAGAGCTGATCGAAGTAGACTAATGTAATTTAGCCTATTTTATATGGGTTTTAAGCTATTAAACTCTGTAGAATTCAAATTTGTAGAAGGAACTCACTGGCCATTTTGACTATAGATGGATATCAGGGGAAATGCATTCGGTTTATTAGCTGCGCATCCGAACCGGCCGCTGGTGTCTCTACACCACTTGGACCACATTGACCCGATCTTCCGAACCAGACCACCATCGGAGCCCTGACCCATCTGATGCAAGCCGCCAGGGCTGACTCGCACAGGCTTCTACAGCAAACAGTTTGCTACGATCCGTGGTTCGCGTGGACCGTCTCGGTCTCGTGGGGCTACGCGGTTCAGGTGTTCGACAAGCACCTGTCCTTGCCCGATGTTCTTCGGACCCAACGCACGTTCAAGCCGTGGAAGAAGGGAAACGTTTTGGCGGAATCATTTAATTTTGACATGATGAAGGAATATCACCTCGACCCGTGTCAGAGACCAGCTGTTTTCTTCTTAGATAAGGTGGAAACTAATGGCGATGGATTGACTAGGAGCAGTTACAGAAGTTTCGGCCGCGATAATTGCACCAATATCAACGTGGCTTCGCCGAAGAAGCTTGAGGAGGTCAGAGTGTGGTCGAATAAGCTTGAACTTGACATCAAACAGGTACCCAATTTCGGATTTGGCAAATGCCTAAATTCGCAACAGACTTTTAATGGCAATTGAAAAATTTGTGATATTTGTGAAGGCTTACTGAAATTTCTCCTTTCTTTTTCTATGTTCTTCTTGTACCCAGTTGCAGGCACCTCGACGGCATTGCTGTGATGTATTGCCTTCCTCGGCAGGGGAAGTGATGGAAATTGGGATCAGAGAGTGCCAAGAAGAAGAGTTAATCTTCATGCATCTGTCTCTGGCCTAGCTATGTGAATATAATGTGTTACCTTTTGATTGAATGTACCCGGCAAACACTGTAAAAATGCCAGAACTATGCGAAGCAGGGCAGAGGTGAACTGTCTTGTTAACGACAAACGGTTACCGGACATAAATCGTAACAGTATTTGGGCCAGGCCCAAATAATCTTCATGGGCCATTGCTGTTTCTGGGCTGGTAATACCAGTGTCCTCTAAAGTAACCTAACGTTGATTGAAATCTGATAGAGCAGCATGGGTGTCTTCCGTTCGCAGGGGACTTGATCTATCCCCAAGTTCATCTCACATTTAATCCCCCTTCCGCCATGTACAACCAAAAATTGTAAAAGAAATCGTACCTTTAAGAAAATCCATTCTTATGTTGATATTTTTGATATTTACTAGAATAAGAATTTTTTAATTTTTTTTTTTATAGATTTGCTATGATGGTGATTTAGTTAGCAAATAGCTAATAGGAAAAGAGAAACATAAATCAATTAGTTTTTTTTTAATACCTGATTTAGAAAAAGGGAATTTTACTAAAATAATTAGTGAAAATGTTTTACAAAGAATACATTTAAATTTATTAAAAAAATTTAATATTATATATATATGAAGTTTAGGAAAAATGCAAATAAAAAAGTGAATTTGAAAAATAAATTTAAAGAAATAAATACATTTTATTATTTAGTTTTACATCAGAGGTGTGATTATAAATTTTTAAATTCAATTTATCATTTAATTTTTTTACCCACCCTTTTAATATGTTTAAATTTTATTTTTATTTATTTATTTTTTGGTGTCTGGATTTAGCCTTACTCAACTAAAATGTTGAACTTATACCTTTTGACAACAAAATTGATAAAAAAACAAATAAGGGTAGAGGGCTGAGTCCGAGTTCGCTCAGTCCAAATTTTATTTTTATTCTATCAGCAAACATATCCAAAATATAACTAAAAAATTAAAGAAAATTTAACCTTATAACAATCAAATATGCCGCAAATTATACATTTATTTATTGACAGGTTCTGATTTATTGGGTTAATGGTATTAACAATTATTTGATCAACATTGAAAGTTAAAGTTAAAACCCATGACCTAATGAGTTATAACTTAATATCAAATGGATTCATATTATAAATTAACAAATGTACTGGAAATAATGAATTGCACAAACGTTCAAAATAATTTTAACTAATCGGAGATCACTTTTTGAGAAGATATTTTTAATTCTTGTGTTAATGGCAAAGAATTTAATAAATTTATAACAAAACTAACAATTATAATTTCATGCTAACACATTAAAATGATTATTAAAACATTATTATTATAATTTTAAATCTCGAGTGAAATAAAATAAAACATGTTCCAATTTATAAGGGTCATTCGATCACTCAATTAAGCTAATTAGTAAAAATTCACTCAACGCTAATGGTCATTTCTTCGTAAATTAAACATTTCCGGACCCTTCCTTATCTTAATAAACATACCCACTTTATGTAGCCTTCTTGTTTCGCCACGCTCAGGTTGGCTCTGCGAATCTCCATGCTTGTCTTAATAAGAGTGTCAAAATAGGTCAAGCCCGAGTAGACCTCCTCAATGTGGCCGACTATCTGAATATCATGGAGTTGGTGTACTGGGTGAGGTAGTGGCTATGGCAGAAGACAGACGACATGATGAGTTGAGGGCAAAGTTTAAAAAATTGGACCAGACCAGACAATCAAACCGGTTAGACCAATGGCCAGGCCTCTTTTCGGTCTGATTTCTATAAAAAATCAGCTAGTTTAGAAAAACCAATGTATTATTTAAAAATCACTTGACCCGCCAGTCCAACCGCTTGACCCGGTAAACCGGCCACGATTCTCATGAATCGAACGATTCATTTTTTTTTTTTTTTTCAGAATTTTTCCCTTAAAATATAAAAATTATCTCTCTCTCTCTCTCTCTCTCTCTAACTGCGGCAGAAGACCTAGACTAAGAAGAAATCCCTAACCCTAACTATTCTTGTCTCGTTGCCACCGTGGTAGAAGCCTCGTCACCGTGCCACTGCCACCATGCGTGTTCTCTCTTCAACCTCAGCCAATTGGAGTTAGGTGCTCTACAGTGGATCCTTTTTCAACCTTGCCACTGATCTCTGCTTCTCCTTGTTATCTACTGTAATTGTTTCCTCCCTTTCTTTTCCTTATCTGTACTTTGTTTCAATGCTCCTGTCTGCTGCTTACATTACATACATGTTGATTATGGTGATTTTATGCGTATTTCTGGACTCTATTTCCATGAGAATGGCTTTCTCTTGTCTCCTTTATTGCAGAAAGTCCTCCACAGTGGCTCTTGAATCTTGATTCATCTGCTCCTCCTTGCAATTTTGGCCTACTCGATTTTATTTTTTGTTTCTTTAATCTTTATTCTCCATGAATGCAGGTAGCAATAGGTCCTCTGTTTTCCCTTGTATTTTTCTTTAGGGTGTCAATGAGACGTGGTTATATTTGAAATTATAGATGCTGAGATGATGCCAACTTTGTATGAACAAGAGAAATCATCTGCATTATGTGCTATAGAATCATTTAAGACTCCTTTGGATAACAAAAATAATGGGTTTTTTCTGAACTGTTAGTAGGCTAAACTTAGATTAAAACTTGGGTGAACTTTTCCTTCTTTTTAAAATCTTTTATAGCTATTTTTGGCATGCAGTAAATCCGAATTTGAGATAACTACTTGATTGATGAAATCATCTGTCACCTTAAAATAATTACTTTTGATACTAATTTTATTTTTTGTAAAATTATGTACTATTTTTGTCTTTTTTATTTTTATAATATATATTTATATAAATTACGTAATTATGATATCATTTATTAAATTATGGTATAATTACAATTCAGTTGATGACTAAACCGATAAATCATGAACTGATAATTTTTTCAATTCAATAAACAGTTCGATTTTTTAAATCTTGGTTGGGAGATGTCAGCGGAGGAGACGCGCAGAGATCTTTATTCCCGATGAGGATTCAAAGGCAGACCAAAGGTTAAAGGCGGTAGCTGGGCTACTTCCGACTGATTCCCGGGGAGAACAAATTTTTTTTGAAATCTATTTGTAAGGAGTTTAAAATGAATAATAATAATAATAATAATAATTAAAATTGCACAATTTTAGGTCTGTTTTTGTTTTTTTTTTGGGTGCCAATATATAAAAATCTTCTAAAAATAGGCTGTATTTAGTGGTGTTTGGTTCAATCAAAAATTTATTTATTTTTTAGTTTTTATTCTCACATTTTTGGATTGTTTGGTTCGTCGTAATGAAGTTGAAAGCCTAACAAGAAATCTAAAAAATTGTTGCTTGATAATTTGATTTTTTAAAAATATTTTATAGTTTTTTGGTGAGTGTTTTACATTTAAATGGAGAAAAAAAATGCAAAAAATTTACCTTTTTTTTCTACATTTCTATACGAACTTTTTAGAAATAATTAAATAAAAAAATTAATTTTTGAATAAAATATATATGACAAAGTTTTTGAATTTTTTTGTAACAAAAAATTAAAAAAAATACTTTAAACCGAGCAACCTTAATTTCCGTTCAATGTTAAATGTAGTCAATGGGGCCCACTGAAGTGTCATATGACTTTGCGTGTGTTCCAAGTCGCAGGCAGTATTTTGTTTAATTTATTTCAGAATTGATATAAATATGGACAATATTATTGTTATCTTTTGTTTTTAATTGGTTAATAATGGGATATGGATTTATACTATCTATTAATATGGTGGGTGTCATATCTTTGAATCTATCTAATAATAATAAACAAAATAAATGAGGCATTACATTTATATTTCCATTAATTTATTTTGGTGTTTATAAATTTTAGAATAGTGGTTTTTTTTTAAGAATGATATTTTCTATTAATTATGAGAAAAAATATTGTTACATTAAGTAGCTTAGAACTCTTCGACTACACACAAAAGCGTTTACTACATCGCCTAATGATTAGAAGAGAAGAAAAAAAAATTATTCAAAAAAAAGACTAATATGATTAAATCTGTTAGTGGGATAGATTTTAATATGAATTTGATTTAAATTTGATCTGATTATTTAGTACTTTTAAATGATAAAGGATTTAATAGATATGATTCGATTATAAAATTTTATAATTTAAAATAAATGAAATGAATATAGATTTCGCCTAATTTAATTCAATAAATATCTCAATATATATATATATATATTTTATATATATATATATATACACACACATACAAACAACATATATACTATATAATATGATATAATATTATATGTGTATCAAAAAATAAATTTAATTTATCATATTTTAATTAAGAAATTATTTTTTCTTAAAATTACCATTAGAAATATATTTTTATTTTTATAAAAAATAAAATATGCATATTGATGAATTAAATGTAATTGTTATATATTACTAGTAAACTATTCTCAAATGTAAAATTTGTAGTGGATCAAATATAATTATATTATACTTTTAAACTCTAAAATTATTTATTATTTTATTTTTTAAGAATTTTTTGTTTTAATTTTTAATTATTTTTTTTAAAATATAAAATAATAAATGTATAATAATTTAATAATTTGAATTCAAATATTTGTGTCAGATATCGAATTTTATTCAAATTTGAATATGATAACACTAAATATATATTTTATATGATTTCAAGTCAAATTCGAATATAATATACTATTATCAGATTTAAATTTGAATCTATCATGATTCGAGTTGAATTTGACTCATTTATAATTCTAATAATAATCATGAGCTCTTCTCATACTTTACAATTAACAAACCCCCCCCCCCCTCCCCAAAAAAAAAAGTGAAAATATGAGGAGTTTTGGAGCAGAATAAACCTTCTCCATGCAGCTGTTCTAAAAGGAGTTAATCTTACAATTAATTTCTTAACCTAGCTTGTATTAATAACTAATTATATATAAATTTAATTTCTGCACCGTCTCAGGGTCCACACCTTGATTTACTTAACAACAACGA